GCCTACAACGTCAATGGAGCCCTTCGACCTCTACGGTCATTCCATCGCATTTCATTCGCAATTCGACTGAAGCTGTTTACTAGTACTTTGTTTACAGCGTCGTCGTCCGCTTCTTTTAAGTAGGTCCTTCATAGGTGCTGGTACTATTGCTCAAATTTAGGAGCACAAGAAAGGTGGTCTAGCGACGTCGGTTTTAGCGAGTATTTTGAGCTCCAGCTCCCGACGGTCGTTTCACGAGCTGCCGTGACGAAATCGATATAGCAAGGGCAAGTCTACCACCAATGACTATTCTTGCAAGGAAAATGTACTTCGCCATGATACCGTGCGATCTGTCGACCAACCAGCGCGCGTCGGCTATATTTGCGAGGCGCGTCCGTTGGCAAGGCGCTCGGCTCCTCTACGTCCTCACTTTGGATTTTCCCACTCGAACTCAATGCAATTGATTCTCGCGACCGCGCTTTCAATCGTATCGTTCGCGTCGGCTGCGCCCTGCACGTCGGCGGAATTCAACTCAATAAACGAGACCTACGCCACCACTCTCACGGCCGCGTGCGCCACGAGCCTCAAGATGAGTACGAGTGCGACGATCTCGACTGCCATGGGGGACCCTTACGGCTTTTGCCAACCGGCGTGCGCGACCGACCTCAACAACCTCTCGTCCGGCATTGCGATCTGCGACGGAACCGCGCCGGAAGTGGCGATTGTCGCGCAATTCAGGCAAATGTGCACCGACTTGGCCAACCCGACAATGAACGGCGGCAAGTGCACGACCAGCGACATGATTCTCCATGGTGGGATTATGCAATCGCCCGTGTGGACCAACTGCTCGAGCGTGGCACGAACTCTTAATCGCCCCCCAAAACCATCGATAGAGGCGGGGCGACTGTATGCACGCAGCCTGTGATTGGTCGGTGCTCCATTGCAACCTCCCCTTTCCCAAACTTCGATTTCGAAGTTCGACAATTAAAAACCCATCGACCCATGGAGTAATATCCCATCCCAAATACCCTCCCCTCCTTCCCCGAGGGCTTACGGAGCCCCGCTAACTCTCCCTCTTCCCCAGAACAACCCCACCGACCTCGTGCCTCTTTCCCAACGCCCTCCCCGACCTCACGCAACAACTCTGCTGCTTCAACCACCCCTTCCCCGAAATAACAGGTTAGGAGTCCCAGGAATATTATTACTACGACAGATGAAATGGTTTTAGGGGGCAATTAAGCAGCCCTCGAGCGTGGCCGGTGCGACGTTGAGGACGATTACGCCGCAGGGCCTAGAGAGTATCAAGACGATGTGCGCCTCAGCCACGTGCACCGCCTTTCTGTCGTCGATGGAAAAGCAAACGCCCAACTGTATCATGGAGGACGACACCCCGAAGAACTCAATGAGCCTGAAGACGATGTTTCAAATGTCGTATGGCTGCACACCCGCCGCTGTGGGGGCACAATGCTCGCTCATTGATATGGTAAATTTCCAGACTGCTGCCGCGGCGCCGGTGTGGGCCAACTGCTCAACGTTCCTCAAGCTACCCCAAGGCACAACGATCGACAAGGTCATGCCCGACGAGGACGCCACAGCCACGTCCCTTCCGGCCGGATTCTGTAACTCGACGTGCCCGCAGTACCTCTTGTCTTTGATGCAATCACTCCCGTCGTGCACATCGGGCGGCAAGAACGTCTCGGACCCCTCGGTGATTTACACACTTTGCCCCAATGTCAAGCCCAACAAGTCGGGGGCCTCGACATTGAGTGTTTTCCTCTGGAGCTATGTCGTTGTGCTTGTCACGGCCGTCGCGACCCTGTTCTAACTTGACCACGTCGACCCTTTCTTCGAGATGAATATACTCTACACTTTGCACAATACTTTGCGCACCTCTAGTATACTTTTGGCGTCACCGATGGACACGATGTGGCCACCGAGATGACGAGACATCGTGGCTTACGCGTGAGACACGGAGAATTTTCCAAATGCAGCTCTGCAATCGATCACAGCCATCATAAACACGCAGTTCCAAGTTATCACGGAGGTTTTGTAAGGCTGGAACTTTTAACACCTAACCCCTTTCGCGTCCCGAACCATCAAAAGCATGCACCAGCGTACACTGCTAAAACTGCGGAAAGATAAACTGCTAAAACTGCGGAAAGATAAACCTCTGTGCCAACTACAATCATAACCGAGAAATGACGAGGCTTATACTCCATACAAAGGCTTCGCACCCGTCTGCTAAACATCCATAAACAAAGTAAAAACGTCTTTCTCCATCTTCAATTTCGCAAAGGACGTGTGTTTTCGCCTCACCATGGTATAGATTGTCGTCAAATTTATAGGCTTTTACGAAAAGTTATTCTATCATCCCCAGCTACGACCGCTCGCTTTCATTGGTCGATGCTTCAAGACGACACAAGCGTAAACAGCCCATGCTGCACGAGAAGCTCAATGCAATGGTGCAGCGACTTTGTCATCAGCGCCGCATGCTCAGACAACATGTCTTGCATGGTCGCCACGGCCAGTGTCGCGCCAAACGGCATCTCCAATGACGCTTCATCACTGCTGT